ATATTAAATTTCACGAGTTTCAGGACCTACCTTAGGGTCTCTATATTCACGTTTTAAAGTATGAAACGATTTGAGACACCCAGTTCTATGAAATGTTTTATGAACAATTCAGCTTTCGGATGCCGCTTTCACATCCCCTTAAGTGCTTTAAGGTTGTAAATAATCGAAGGAAATGAGACGAAGGCTAAAAGAAAATCGTTATTTATACCTAAATAGCATATCCCCAAATTGTAGAAAAGTCACGTTTAATCTTACACCCTTTTACCCTTCCCCTGTACATGCTTTAAATCCAGTTGCCTTTTAAATAAATAATTAAAATGTAAACGTAATCCGCCCGACATGTGCATTTCCATCGTGCCTTCTTCTTGTGCACTTACTTTATAATCAAACAGACTTTTGCGTCCATTTAGAATTGACTAGAGAGAAGTCATTAGAAGATAACCATTCTCCTGGGAACACTGATACAAATTTTTAATGGTTCCATTTTGTTTAAAAATAATTCCTGTTAAATTTCAGCTTAATCGAACAAAGGGAAAGAGTACTGCTGGGCTCTTGAAAATGGAAAAACCATTAAATATCGAAAAAATCAATTTTATTTGTTTATTTTGCATAATATTAATNTATTATTTATATGCAAAAAAGCTTTATACAAAAGTTGTAGATCTGGTAAAAATGCGCATATTATTACCTACGACTTTTTCTTGTTTGGCTAACTGTTTCCGAGAAAAATGCGAAAAAGCATGTCACGATGCGAAAGAAAGTCACAGAAATTGTTTTGCCAAGAGTAAATAACCACCCGAGTACTTAGAGTAACACAATTCGTGACATGCTTTTCCGCATTTATCTCGGAAACAGTTAGTCGAACAAGAAAAAGTCGTAGGTAATAATATGCGTATTTTGAACAGATCTACAACTTTTGTATAAAGCGTTTTTTCATATAATTAATATTTTGCAAAATAAACAGATAAAATTGATTTTTTCTTTAATTTTATGGTCTTTCCATTTTCAAGGGCCCAGGGGCACTTGCTATTTCTCATTTTTCTCGGAAACAGTTAGCCAAACAAGAAAAAGTCATACATAATAATATGCGTATTTTTAACAGATCTACAACTTTTGTATAAAGCGTCTTTCCATACAATGAATATTTTGCAAAATAAACAAATAAAATTGATTTTTCTTTAATTTCCTAGTCTTTCCATTTTCAAGGGCCCAGAGGCACCCTTTCCCTTTGCCCGATTAATCTGAAATTGAACAGGAATTAATTTCACAGAAAATTGAACCATTAAGGGGGTTAGCGCTATAACAAATTGCAAAAGAACTTTTGTAAGGAATTAATAAAAACCATTCCAGTGTTCCCTCGAAGGAGATCTGAACGCGGTGGATCAGACTTTCTTTAATAGAATAAAAAGAATCCAGTGTCGAGAAATTCCCAAGTGTAATTGTAATCCTAATTCTAAGTTTCGGAGAAGCGTGCGATTAATATCGCGATATATACCTTATGTACAAATTTTCTTAGGACCTTAACAAAATGGGGATTAGGGCCGCGCGTCCCCAAAAAGCCTTAAATAAGTGCCGTTTTGCGTTATTCTAACAGATCTAAGCACCATGTACGTACTTAAATTAAGTGTATGCGCTAATGTAATTTCTGTACAATACAAATTATATATATATATATACACATATATGTCCCTATGTACCAGAAATGGTCACTTTCCCTTCGGGCATCTTAACAATGGCGTGTTATATCTATATACAGTGTCACTTTATATTAAAGTTGGCACTTCATCTATGACAATTTTCTATGCGTTATCATATTTCGCTTTTACAACGATTACCTCGACGGGAGAAGTTTAAAGAATTAAGGAAAAGAAAAATAATCTTGTAAAACTCCCAGCCAGAGAAAAGTAATCTTCTAGCTGTCGTTATTCCTTTTCCTTTTTCGGTTATGCAGAGCTCGGAAATGTATGATGTTAAGGTGAAGTGAAACCCCCTTTAAGGCAGTCGATAAGGCACTTTTTTTAATTAAGAAAAAGAAAAATAATGTAAAACTCCCAGCCAGAGAAAAGTAATCTTCTAGCTGTCGTTATTCCTTTTCCTTTTTTTGGTTATGCAGAGCTCGGAAATGTATGGTGTTAAGGTGAAGTGAAACCCCCTTTAAGGCAGTCGATAAGGCACTTTTTTTTAAGGGAACTTTTTTTAATTAAGAAAAAGAAAAATAATGTAAAACTCCTAGGCAGAGAAAAGTAATCTTCTAGCTGTCGTTATTCCTTTTCCTTTTTCGGTTATGCAGAGCTCGGAAATGTATGATGTTAAGGTGAAGTGAAACCCCCTTTAAGGCAGTCGATAAGGCACTTTTTTTAATTAAGAAAAAGAAAAATAATGTAAAACTCCCAGCCAGAGAAAAGTAATCTTCTAGCTGTCGTTATTCCTTTTCCTTTTTTTGGTTATGCAGAGTTCGGAAATGTTAAGGTGAAGTGAAACCCCCCTTAAGGCAGTCGATAAGGCACTTTTTTTTAAGGGAACTTTTTTTAATTAAGAAAAAGAAAAATAATGTAAAACTCCCAGCCAGAGAAAAGTAATCTTCTAGCTGTCGTAATTCCTTTTTCTTTTTCTGGTTATGCAGAGCTCGGAAATGGATGGTGTTAAGGTGAAGTGAAATCCCCTTAAGTCCGTCGATAAGGCACTTTTTTTTAAGGGAACTTTTTTTAACGAAACATCGAAATGTTTTAAACTTTGTCATATGTGCCCATAATTATGAAAGTGGTCTAAGTCAAAATTAAAAAAAAAATGAGTTTATCAGTTATTTCACGCCATATTATTTCAAAGGAAATTAATTCAATGTAATTTCGAAAGAGAAAATATATGACTTAGACCACTTTCATAATTATGGGCACATATGACTACTGAGCACCTAGGAATTATCCTGATATTTTAAAATTTGGATTTTTCAACCAAATACATTTTAACTTAGCCCAGACCTGAACCAAAATGGCGGCGAGCTCTCATATTTCGATCGATATACAATTATTGAAGGCTCTGATATGAGAAACGAAAGGGTCAGGACAATTTTACGACAATTTAGAACATTCTGGTAATCGATAAACTCGCATTTGAACGAGATAAACGCAAAAAAGTGTCTTATACGCTTCTATGCAACAACGATGGTAATACAAGGTCTCGGAGTGAAAATTTAGTTGCCATGGAAATCACAGATGGCGCAGTGAGTCCCTCTGCAGTCAGTTAGGACCCCAGAAAGCATGAATCCAGAGGATTTCTGGAGTTTTACTTCGATTTCCTTACAATTATTGTACGGAAACTACATATGGAGTACGCCATTTAGTACAATAAAAGTGTCAGGGCAATTTTACAACTTATAACACCCTGGTAATCGATAAACTCGAATTTGAACGGGATAAAGGCAAAAATAGTGTCTTATGCGCTGCTATGTTAAAAGAATGGAGGTTTCAGAGTGAAAATTTAGTTGACACGGGAATCATAGATGGCGCAGGGGGTCCCTTTGCAATCAAGTAAGGCCTCAAAAACGATGAATTCAGGGGATTTCTGGAGTTTTACTTCGATTTCTTTATATTTATTGCACGAAAACGACATATCGAGCACGCCATTTAGTACAATAAAGTGTCATTACAATTGTACGACAATGTAGAACACTCTGGTAATCGAAAAACTCGAATTTGAACGGGACAAAGGCAAAAAAAGTGTCTTATGCGCTGTTATGCTAAAAGGATGGAGGTTTCGGAGTGAAAATTTAGTTGACACAGAGATCACAGATGGCGCAGGTAGTTCCTCTGCAATCAATTAGGGCCGCAGAAACGATGAATCCAAAGGATTTCTGGAGTTTTACTTCGATTTCTTTATAATTATTGTATGAAAACAACAGGTGGAATATGTCATTTAGTAGAGTACTCAATACAATTCGACACAACTGTCGATTTAAAAAAGAACGTCGGCAACGTAGGCATTTAGAAAAATCTTCTTTACCGACGTCGATCAAGTTCCTCGACGTGTTTCACTTCACCTTAATATTATTGATATTTTGTAAAATAATTGAAATGCACTAAGGTTTAGAATTTGCGAAATAGAGGTATTAGATATAAAAATTCTCCGAAGCGCTTTTAACTTCTTCATTTATGCGTGAGATTTGTCAGAACGTTTTGTGTGAGCCATTTTGTATTCGGAAAATGTCAAACCATGACAGCTGTAAAATAGGAATCATACAAAATGTTTATTGTTTGTTCGAAGATATGTAAATGAGAGCCGAGATAACAAACAAGTCATCTAGGACTAGATTTTACAATACATGGATACCTGTATACATAAATCCAAGAAGCGTGCAAAACTATTTCCCCCTTTATTGTACTTATAATTTAAAAAACTGTTCGTCTCTATTTATTACGCTGTAGAATTAATGATAAGTAAAGTCTGTAAAAGAAAAGCTGCATGGATTAATAAAGTGGATAACTAGGAAGCCATTTTGGTATCACCGCTTTGTGGGCAACAATTGAAATTGTTGCTTCTCGCCCTTAGATTTGCATACAACGCGATGAAACAAAGGTTATTTTGTTTTTCTATACTATACCTTACCCACTGAACACCAAACCTAACAATTACCTAACTTAAAACTAACAAACAACATAATGTTTGTTACGATGTAATAACCTAACAGGTACGTAACAATAAAAAATTTGTTTATAGATATTTAAAAAAATTGGTATAAAAAGTGAAATTTTATGAGTGTCAAGACCTTCTTTATAGACTCTATATTCACGTTGTAAAGTTTCAAACTATTCAGTACACCTAATTCGAAGAAAAGTTTCGTCTTTCATATCCCCTTAAAGGGTATATGACCCCTATATAATACCCCTTTTTACAGATGACACTACTTACAGAGGTGTAAAGGGTGTAGAGGGCGCCAGGGGCTCGTGCCTCCCTTTAAAACAATGGCGCGCAACATCTCCCCGCTCACCTCTGCTTATTGTTACTGCACTTAGCGTCCGTTTATTCCTCTATGAGGAAGTGAATTTCAATTTGGAATGCAGATCGATTCAAATATCATATTTATGTAACAATATACCGCGGAAGAGTTTGTATAATGGAGCCAAATCCAGTCACGGTACGTTCTGGTCAGACGAAAGTAAATGCACATTACAACATACATTACTTCGAACAATAAAAATGAAATAGTGCAGCATGGAGAATAAAACCTGATAGTGAAAGTTGTTATACATTACCGGAAGTGCTTCTTTTGCAGCATAATTCTGAACGAACTGATTCGTATTTTTGTTTTGTCATAAATAGTTGGAATTAATGCAAAATATGAATCTACATATCTCTATTCTATATATAGATATATCTGAATCTATATATCTATATATTTGCGTCACTGCAGTACATACACGTATCCATATTTTTACCATGTCATTATACATTATCCCTAGTAGCACAAAATATTTTCCTTATATTTTTTATTTATTTTTATTAACAAATGTCGCACAGCGGGGCCAGAGAGGGTCAGAACTGGCAATGGGTGCATTCGAAGGAGAAAAGCGGTTACCGATGAGTTGCGAACATGTTGCGATTTTCTGCTGAATGGACTGTTCAGTGATCATAATATGGCGGCATCCAGTATTGTGTAATCTAACCTCCTTATACTTGGCACTTCGCCTAGATGGCCGATCCTCTGAGCAACACCTAGAAGAAGTAAAATAGGTGCTGGACCCCGGCTACGGATACTGCCTTTCATCGCCTCCAAGAGCCCTTAAGGTGAAGTGAAACCCCCTTCAAATCAGTCGATTCGAATACATTTGCTATGCGAATACCAAGTCCAATCCTGTTGAACAACGGTACATTGCCACCGATTCCTTTCCCCAGGCACCGTCAAGGCAAGCAGTGCTCGCAGCAACACCAGACCGATCGAAGGACCATCGACAGCAGTACTGCAGGGATTTTTAAGTTTTAAAACACTGGTAATAATTAAACGTTCTACAATTTTGCTGAAATAACCTAATCAATTACTCACCTTCTATATTTGACCGATGGGGTTTGTCCTAACCCCGGTAAGTCCCAATCCCTGGCTCCTATTCGTACTTCAAATGGATACAAAGACCCTTGGGATCGGTTCAATGCTGTATCAGGAAGACATCGATGAACAGTGTCGGGTCATCTGCTATGCGAATACAAAGTCCAATCCTGTTGAACATCGGTACCATTGCTACCGATTCCTTTCCCCAGGCACCGTCGAGGCAAGCAGTGCCCGCAGCAACACCAGACCAATCGAAGGACCATCGACAGCAGTACTGCAGGGATTTTTAAGTGTTAAAAAACTGGTAATAATTAAAAGTTCTACAATTTTGCCGAAGTAACCTAATCAATTACTCACCTTCTATATTTGACCGATGGGGTTTGTCCTAACCCTGGTAAGTCCATATCGCACTTGTCAGATCGGTCGCCTGTTAAGTCAGACCACTGTTTTTCAGCGATCTTTGCGTAGCAATGAGTCAGGATCAACGTCCACAGAGTGTTCGGAGAATCAAAGACGATGATGTGGAATTTAAGCTCTTACAAAATAACCTCAAACAGTAGAAAGGGACATGCCAACAGGAATGATCACTCGGAGAGCCAGAACCAGTCCGTCGAGACCATCCATCCAGGCCAAGGCGTCGTTAGGACGCCACCTGGAAAAAGGATCAGTTCTATTAATTTCCCAGCTTCATTGGGAACGAATTATAAAGGGCTTTACCTTGAATACTCGATGGTACGTCGAACTGTCGAAGGAAGGGTGACGATATACTCCAAGAATGATCGTTTTTGCTCTTAACCTATCCTCCTCTACTATCCTCGGAGATCCTTCCAAAACCTTCTCTTTCCCTCGGGTTGTAATATACTTCACAAGAACGTCGTTATTTAATTAAGCCATAGAGTCGCGTGGGAACTACACGTCCGCCTGTACTCTCAATACCGACCGCTCGACGCGCCCTCACGGTCGTGCCGTCAAACCATGTACACGATACGCCCTCTCGGTCGTGCAGTCGAACCATGTGCACGCGCTCTCTCGATCGTGCAGTCGAACCATGTACACAACGTGCCCTCTCGGTCGTGCAGTCGAACCATGTACACAACGCGCTCTCTCGACCATGTACACGATACGCCCTCTCGACCATGCAATCAAACCATGTGCACGACGCACCGTCGGTCGTGTAATCAAACCATGTACATGATATGCCCTCTCGGTCGTGCAGTAGAACCATGTGCATGTGCTCTCTAGATTGTGCAGTCGAATCATTTACACGATACGCCCTCTCGGTCAGAGTCGAACTATGTACACGACGCGCTCTTTCGGTCGTGCAGTCGAAACATGTGCACGATACGCCCTCTCGGTCGTGCAGTTGAACCATGTGCACGTGCTCTCTCAATTGTGCAGTCGAACCGTGTGCACGTGTTCTCTCGATTTGTGCAGTCGAACCACGTACACGATACGCCCTCTCTGTGGTGCAGTTGAACCATGTGCACGTGCTCTCTCGATTGTGCAGTCGAAACATGTGCACGATACGCCCTCTCGGTCGTGCATTCGAACCATGTGCACGTGCTCTCTCGATTGTGCAGTAGAACCAAATACACGACGCGCTCTTTCGGTCGTGTAGGCGAACCATGTACACTGGTATTCATTGAGTTACCTCGCGAACGTACTACCCTCTCCGGCCGCGCGGTGTACTAGCACGGGAGTAGCGCGGAATTTGAATCGCCCAAGGGGCAGAATGGATTTCCTCAGGAAAAAAAATTTTCATAAACAAAAGCAATTAATGAAAATTATTTAAATACTATTGTGAAGTGTTCCTGACCAACTTAACGTAGTTTTTCTTAAATTATTATTCTTAAAATACCGCGGAAAAAACCAATTTAAACCTTCCTCAAAAAGTAATCGTTTCTGTAACTGTATAAATCCTTGAATAGGTGCTATTAAATGATTTATGTAGTCATCGAAACGTGTCGGCCGTCCAACTGATTTTCGAAATTTTTGAAAAACGTTTTGAAATCTATAAATAGATATTTAATGGCACGTAACCAATTGTCTTCATGTCTTGAGTTGGCTCTCACTGGACAGCGTAGTGTTTTAGGCCTCTGATCCATTACGTTTCCATTGAGAGAGTCGAACAACTTATCCATGAATGATATTAGGTTAGCGGTGTCTTGGGCACTCTTCGGCATCCTTGTTCCCTCCTTGGTCACGCATCCTGAAATATTCAGTATTAATTTCTCCAATTGTACAAAAATAAAATACACGTTTATGAGAGAAATTTCGTTGAACAACTTGTCCATGAATAATATTAGGTTAGCGGCAAGTATGTGAAAATTACCTTTTATTCCTGATGTTGCTTTATGTAAAAATCATATGCGGCCCTGAAAAGTGCCTTATCGGCTGTCCTTAGTAGTCCGTCCAGAATCCGTCCCGATCAACCACCCGATGTTTCTCGTCGTAGCTGTTTCGAGACGTTTTTCGCGTAGTCGATCAACACTGCTTTACTCCTTTCCCTGGCCGACACCCACAATCGGGTAATCTCGGACCACACGTTTTCGATTATGTTAAGATCCAGCCACTGCAGCAAGTAGATTTCGGTGTGCGCCAAGAACCACGTCCGTACTTCATGTGAAGTATGGACCGCGGAATATCGTGCACCAAGCGAATGATTGGCACGCCCTTCGCGGGATAAATTACCCGTACGCTTGGAAGAAGAACTTCCAATTTACGAATATATTCTGCGGAGTTCATACTGGCAGAAATTTCCACAAATCACCTGTTTGGTGTCCGCTAATCCACCCCCACATGGCGCACGACACCCCACCACTACGATTGTGTGAGACGACGTATCTTGGGTCCAGCCTGTTTCCACCTGGCCACCAAATGCGAGTGGTTCGGTTGGTGGACGTGTAAAAGACCTTTTCATCGGTCCGTGTCGTCAACTCCCAAACTTCGTGTGGTGTTAGCAGGTTTTCAAACGCGAACGGGACTCTCTGCTCCCGGTGAGCGAGTGTTAAGTGTTTCTTGGGTCCAGCCTGTTTCCGCCTGGCCACCAAATGCGAGTGGTTCGGTTGGTGGACGTGTAAAAGACCTTTTCATCGGTCCGTGTCGTCAACTCCCAAACTTCGTGTGGTGTTAGCAGGTTTTCAAACGCGAATGCGACGAGCGAGTGATAAGTTTTCTTACGAACCGGACGAAAGCAACGAAGCCCGACTTCGCGAATGTGTCGCCGGCTGATAGTCGCGGACACAAGTAGTTCTAAACGAGTTACCGTGTCCGACACAACAGTAAATGGAGACTGAAGAATCGTATCGACTAATAGACGGTCATCGTGATCTGACGTCTTCCTTCGACTGAAATTGTTTCCGGTGGTCCCGCAGAATATCAGGACCACCTTCTTCATACTTTCTAATCCAATAAAGTACCGCCCTTTTACTGCATGGGATTATCTCGGCGATGTTGTGAACGTGGGCCCCACACAGCCACATTCCGACGAATATCCCACGTCGTCCAGGACTCAAATTTGGAGCCATTTCGCGTACGCTCTGCTAGACCTAGAAATGAAATAATATCGATGAGTATTCCTACCCACACCAGCCACTGGCTTCAGCCATTAGATCCTGCCTTCTTCAAGTCTTTAAAAATTAACTAATATCCTGCTTGCTCCAAGTACATGACCAATAATCCCTCAAGGAAGATTACCCGGCTGCAGTTTGGTGCGCTTCTTAGCTTAGCTTGGGGTAAATCTGCAAACGTAGATAGGTATATGCTTTCGGATATGTTCAGCAATATACTGAACTTCATACACTTGTATCGTTTATTCTAGAACTACAGTGGAAAGCATTCATTATTAACAAGTATCAGAACGTTGTAAAAAGGTTGCGTTGCAAGCGTTCTTTTGAAACACCGCACATCACCGAAAATAATAACTGAATGAATTTCTGACTTTGAAGAAACCACACAATACAGTATAAACTTTCGGATACGTTCAGCAATTAACTGAACTTTATACCTTTGTATCCCTTTTATTCAAGAACTACAGTGGAAAGCATTCATTATTAACAAGTATCAGAACGTTGCAAAATCTTGCGTTGGAAGCGTTCTTTTAAAACACCGCACATCACCGACAATAATAACTGAATGAATTTCTGACTTCGAAGAAACCAAACGATACAGGTTAAGCTTTCGGATATATTCAGCAATAAACTGAACTTTATGCACTTCTATGTCTTTTATTCAAGAACTACAGTTGAACGCGTTCAACGTCCGCACTTCCGTTCGTCATACGCACCTAGCAAATTCAAGGATGACACGTAGAATGTAATTATGCAAGCAAGTTATACACGACGCTGTATGTAACGCGTTGCTCATCGATTCCATGTTACTCACGTTAGGTGGTACTCACACAGGCATGAAAATAATGCTAGAGTCGAAAGTTTCTGGCTGAGCAAAACCGTCTCTGGAAGTAGCCATTAAAGACCACCTATAAGGCTGCAATTATAATAAATTATACCAAGCGCCATGGGCAGGGGATCGATCGGAAGAGAATTCAAGTCAGTTAATTCTAAAGGAGCTGCAGACTAAAGAGGTAAGAAGTGTTGGCATCTGACACGACCGAAGAGTACGTCTACCGAACTTAATAAAATACTTCTTAATACGAGGGCACAATAGATGTAACTCGCTTTAAGATAGAGCATTTTATTACTGAAACCAATCACGGAGATCCGTAAGTGTTATTCTATATCGATGAATGAGTGCTTCTTGTTTATAATCCACAATATAAAAATTAGGATAATAAGAATAGTAATGTGAAAGGCGCAAAAAAATTTGATCGACGTCGGTGATGATGCTGCGGTATACCGGAACCCCATTTATGTGTGCAAATTGTGTTTTTAGGACTATTATGAGCCTTAGAAATGAAAAGGATGCATTTATCACATTCAAAGACTTCATCGGTCCCAGTATCACGATGCTGCGGTATACCGGAATGCCGTTTGTGTGCCAATTGTGTTTTTAGGACTATTATGATCCTTAGAAATGAAAAGGATACATTTATCACATTCCAAAAATTCATTGGTCCCAATATCATGATGTTGCGGTATACTGGAACCCCATTTATGTGTGCCAATTGTGTTTTTAGGACTATTATGATCCTTAGAAATGAAAAGGATGCATTCATCACATTCAAAGACTTCATCGGTCCCAGTATCATGATGCTGCGGTATACCGGAATGCCATTAAAGGGTGCCAATTGTGTTTTTAGGACTAATATGATCTTTAAAAATGAAAAGGATACATTTATCACATTCAAAGACATCATCGGTCCCAATATCATGATGCTGCGGTATACCGGAATGCTATTTGTGTTTTTAGGGCCATTATGAGCCTTAGAAATGAAAACTATACATTTATCGCATTCAAAGACTTCATCGGTCCCACTATCATGATGCTGCGGTATACCGGAATGCCATTAAAGAGTGCCAATTGTGTTTTTAGTACTATTATGATCCTTAGAAATGAAAAGGATACATTTATCACATTCCAAAAATTCATTGGTCCCAATATCATGATGTTGCGGTATACCGGAACCCCATTTATGTGTGCCAATTGTGTTTTTAGGACTATTATGATCCTTAGAAATGAAAAGGATGCATTCATCACATTCAAAGACTTCATCGGTCCCAGTATCATGATGCTGCGGTATACCGGAATGCCATTTATGGACTGCGTTTTCACCGGGACAAAAGAAACGCCTACAACTTTGGAAAGGACAACAGCTGCATTGATTATCTTGGGGATGATCCTGGTGATAGGTTTGTCGATGAGAAGTGTGGCATACATCTGGGACGAAGACCCTAAGTACGCATTAACCATCCTTTCCTCGTTATTAACTATAACGCACACCACGTTAAAGGTAAATATTACAAGTAATGCCTAATTTTACATATAAAGTATCGAAATAAAAAAATTGTGCTGCTTTAAATCAATACTTGGTTCCATTTGCATGTCAATGTATATCGTCTTCTTGTTTCATTTCATCACAATATTTCAGGGAATTCGATTCCTGCTAATACGAATAGAATTAAGGGATCTTTTTCAAAGGATGTCGTTCTTCTGGGAAAACTCCCTTCAACCTAGCCTGGAAATAAACGACGTTCAATGGATGATTAACAGTTTAATCATCCTTCGAAATATCTACTTCACTGCCATTATATCAGCCGTCATTTTTTACAGTCTACCTGTTTATGTGTAAGTTTATTTATTATATAGATACACTTAATTTAATGTATATCGATGATACTTAATTAAGGAAATACAATGACGAATATTTGCTACTACGAGTGGTGTTTCAAAAGTAAGTTTCACTACTTTTATAAATACGTTTGGTTGGCGGGAAACGTTTGAAATTTCCAGGGAATATTTGTCTGAGTGTAGGGCAAGCTCTATAAAATCCCTATGCGCGCGCATCATCGCTAGGTCAGCCACGCCCCCGTCGCCATGGAGACTCCACTCGCTCCTCCCACCGATTGTGAAGTTCGTGGTATTATTCGTTTTTTACCCGGAACCTTCTCTTCCTCTCTCTTATACATTGGATCTCAATATTCTGAGGCAGTTGATAAAGAATTTCAAGTGTAAGCCAATCGGAATCCAAGATCCTTCGGACATGCTCGGCAACACTCGGAAGATGTGGAGTCGAGGTCCGGCCGCTTCGTTGTTCATCGTGCAATGTTTTTCTCCCATCAATGAATAATTGGCGCCAACGAGCAACCATTGACCTTGACATAACACCTTCACCGTACACGCTACACAACTCGTGATGAATTTCAGTCGCATTTTCATTTCTTTCCGGTTAAAAACCAAATAACACTCCGAACTTCACAATCGGTGGGAGGAGCGAGTGGAGTCTCCATAGCGACGGGGGCGTGGCTGACCTAGCGATGATGCGCGCGCATAGGGACTTTACAGAGCTTGCCCTACACACAGACAAATATTCCCTCGATATTTTCAACGTTTCCCGCCAACCAAACGGGTTAAAAAAAATAGTGGAAGTTCCTTTTGAGACACCCCTTGAGTATAAATTTAATGAGGTGTAACGGTTCATCACTGATAAAGAGATTGAAATGGCTTTTTAACCATGAAAAGGAATTATTTGCTTTATAACTACCCAATGTTAATTCACAGTTAAGATTATTTTTTTAATTAATTTCTCATTTACGGTATCAAACACTGTCGAATACAAATTGCTGAAGTCACTGAAAATAATCTTGCTTGAATCGATCCTTAGAGACATCAGCGTTCAATATTTCATCACGAAGAATGAAAACAATTCGTACAACTATACCCAGACAATGTTTCCAATGATCTATCCGATTCCACTAACAAGTGCCTTTGTCTACGTTGCTGTTATCACTGTGCAACAAATCTTCGTTGTTCTTGTAATAATGACGTGGGCATGTTGCGATATATTGTTCGCACATATGGCTACTTATGCTGCGATTAAATTCCGGGTAAGCAATCACACATACAAGGAAACATTGCGTTAATTCAGAGACGTTTCATAATTTTTAATAATATTTTAGTTAACGTATAATCAACNTTATTGAAACTAAATATGTCATTGAGATTTTAAAGAAACATTTCAAATATCTTCGAATTAAATGTAGAAGAAATCTTTAAAAAACTGTCGCTTGAGATATTTAGCAAAGATTACAAAGAAATATTTAGAAATTATTCTATGCTACTAGGGAAAAAGGTCATAACTACAATGTTTAACTGAATTTATCAGAAGTTAAGGTGGTGTGAAAGTGGCGTCGAAGAGGTTTTGTTTATAAAACTTTTCTCCCAACTCGATTTACCAAATAGTTTGAAACTTTACAACGTGAATAGGGAGACTATAAGGAAGGTCCTGAAACTCGTGAAATTTCAATTTTCAAATTAAAAAATGAAACTTCCCGAGTGTTAGGGCGTACATTAAGGTCTTTATATTCACGTTTTAAAGTATGAAACGATTTGAGACACCCTGTTGGTAGAAAAGTTTTATGAACGATTGTGCTTTCGGATGCCACTTTCACATCCCCTTAAGTTCAGTACATTTACGAATTCTAATTTAAGAATTCTAATATACCACGAAATTGATAGACAATCTAGAACTGCTTTCCACGTTCCAAACATTTATATTTATGTTTTTGCACTCTATATTAAGGTGATGTGAAAGTGGCATTGAAGGGGCTTTGTTTATAAAACATTTCTCCCAATTCGGTTTACCGGATAGTTTGAAACTTTACAACGTGAATAGGGAGACTATAAGGAAGGTCTTGAAACTCATGAAATTTCAATTCTTTTCAAATTTGTTTATAGGTATTTTAAAAACAGTTTATAAAAAATGAAATTTCCCGAGTTTCAGCACCTACCTTAGGGTCTCTATATTCACGTTTTAAAGTATGAAACGATTTGAGACACCCTGTTCATTGAAAAGTTTTATGAACGATTGAGCTTTCGGATGCCGCTTTCACATCCCCTTAAAGGATTTATTAGCAGATCTGTAAAGAACAAATGCCATACGCCGATCACTTGATCATATTGAATTTATCCTTGAATCAATGTCGACAGGTCCTACGCCATGAGCTGGAAAACATTTTTAAGAACGAAGGCAGGACCCAGTCCGACGATGTGGTTGGCTTAAAGATCGTAGTTCTTGTCGAACATCACTTGGAACTATTCAGGTATAATCTACTGGAAGTGTTTAGATCCCTAAATTCAATTTGCGAGTATTTATACTTGTGTGTAAGTGCATTAGACAGTACCTCTTAAGGTGATGCGAAAGTGGCGTCGAAGAGGTTTTGTTTATAAAACTTTTCTTCCAATTCGGTTTACCGAATAGTTTGAAACTTTACAACGTGAATAGGGAGACTATAAGGAAGGTCCTGAAACTCATGGAATTTCAATTCTTTTCAAAATTCTTTATAGGTATTTTAGAAATAGTTTATAAGAAATGAAATTTCGCGAGTTTCAGGACCTACCTTAGAGTCTCCGTATTCACGTTTTAAAGTATGAAACGATTTGAGACACCCTGTTCATAGAAAAGTTTTATGAACGATTGAGCTTTCGGATGCCACTTTCACATCACCTTAAGGGGGATCGAAAAGCTTTTGTTTATCAAACATTTCTCCAAACTTTATTTACCGAATTGTTTGAAACTTTACAACGCGAATAGGGAGACTATTAGGAAGGTCCTGAAACTCATGAAATTTCAATTCTTTTCAAATTTCTTTATAGGTATTTTAAAAATAGTTGATAAAAAATGAAATTTCACGACTTTCAGGACCTATCTTAGGGTCTCTATATTCACGTTTTAAAGTATGAAACGATTTGAGACACCCAGTTCGTAGAAAAGTTGTATGAACAATTGAGCTTTCAGATACCACCTTCATGTCCCCTTAAGTTCAGTACATTTACGGATAATTCCTAAGGGACTAGATTGACCACTGTCGTGAGGATCTGGTAAGGTTCCAGGATTGACCAACATAACAAATGCGAGTATAGACTGAGTGACCATTGTTTTTCAATAATTAAGAAATGTATAAGTAAACTCAGTGCAAATGCGATACCCTCACCTATGCGATGAAGATCAATTTTTCCCTATATAACTTCATATTTACTACGAACACTTGCTAATGCACGTTTCTATAGCTGTAATTAGTGCCGTTGGAATTATAAGTTTCATGTATGGCATCTTAAACAATCCTTATTGTCATGGAATATTTGTAACGAATTAAATATGTAGGGTACAAAGACGTTTCTAAATTCAGACATGAAACTTATCAGCAAAATAATGAATTTTAACAGTTGAAAATATTCTTTCAGGTTATGTAACTCGATCGAAGAGATATTCAGTCCTCTGATGATGCTGACAATGGTGATTTGCGCCGGCAATATGTGTATCACCATGCACGAAATAGAGAAGGTCACCTATTCGTGTCTTCATCGCTATTGATACCCTGCTTTAAATAAATTCACCGTTATTAATAAACTTTTTAAAAATATTTCAGATGCTGTCCATAGGCGACTATATAGAATTTACAATGAACGTCGTGCACCTTTTCGGACAGTTCTTGATGGCCATAACATGTTGTGCGTACGCAACAATGTTAACCAATCAGGCAAGTTTATGTTTACTCACGTCAATGTTGTTGGGAATTGTTAATACATATTTACTGCTGATTTTTATACAGACGGAGGGAGTCAGTCTGGGTGTTTACGAGTCCAACTGGTTCGGATCTCATCCTTTAGTGAAAATGCTCATCATTATAATGATGCGTGCCCAGAAACCATTCTATTGTACGGCGTATGGTTTCTTTCCCCTGAATCTGAATCAAGTCACAACGGTATAAAGTACACAGTATGTTGCGATATCAATACTAATATTACAGTTAGATAAAGGAACTGCATTTTGTAGATTTTCAGCTCGGCGTTGTCCTACTTCTCCATACTACGGACGATGACATAACCTTGACGTAATGGTTTTGTAGTTTTTGTAATAAATGGAACCCTTTGTCACAACGTGTATTGCAATTTCCATATTTATCATTGTTATAGAAGACTGATGAATTGATTTTTAGTACACCAGATCTTGTTTATAGTTGTTTTCGGGTACCGTCATTCCAGGCACGATCGATAATTCGAAGTTAGGCACTACTGACTATCCGAAATTAAGGCATGATGAAACATATTTTCATATTGCATATTTTTTGTATTAGATATATACCTCAATATGTGAAAGGAACTTTAAAAACCATCCCACCAACTTCGTCCTACACTTTGTTCCTAGCAGCGCGATCTAGTGACTGGGTTACGAATTATTCCGCTATCCGAAATTAAGGCAGCATCCGAAATATGAACGCCTTCCTCTATTTCCCTCTAATGCATATCGATGCGAGGATCGCGGAGGCACCACGTCCCAACATAGCGGAAACATTGGGAGCCACCTCACACATAAAATCCAAACAACACAACAAGAAAAGGGCCTCTGAGAATCGGGCTGGCACCGGTTGAGGGAAGTCGACACCGGCTTGGAAATAGAGGGCGAGAAGATCCAGAGGGCACTGTCGTCCTACGGCCGCCACCAAGAGCTTATACCTGGCCCAAACGTTAGGGGCACCGGTCGACAGACGAGGTTATGTTCTGGTTCCGGATTTCTGTGATGGTGCTTTGCAGCACCTATTTTGGCCTGCAGTACCCGTTAGGACACAACCAACTCAAACTATTAAACTGTTTTGTGTGTAATTCCTTTGTTCTGTATTTGAGTTTGTCTTCTTTATGGGTTGTAAGAGCGTGAGGAGCTAGTAGCTCTCTCCATGCGGTTGCTTCTTTGTGTGGTGACGCGGCGTTATTAGAACATCTCCCGCGTGCTTTGTTTCTGTGTAGGTCTTAATCTGTTGTTATATTGTTTTGTTTGTATTTGAGTTTGCCTTGTTTATGGGTTGTAAGAGCAAGAGGAGCTAGTAGCTCTCCATGCGGTTGCTTCTTTGTGTGGTGACGCGGCGTTATTAGAACGTCTCCCGCGTGCTATGTTTCCGTGTAGGTCTTAATATGTTGTTATATTGTCTTGTTTGTAGCTTGGGTGTGGTTGTTTTAATGCACTAGTCTTCGTTGCGTAGGTATTTCGTATAAAACAATTGCTAGTTTATGCCACAAAATTTCGCGATACCCCCGGCGATCGCAATGGCGGACGTCTTGCCGCCATTGCGATCGCCACGAGGTTCGCTTACTACCCATATAAAGACGAATTAACACCCAAAGTCAATGTCATTAACATGTATAAGAAAGTTGCAGCAACGCCACTCCGAAACATCAGCGAAGACAGTTAAGCAATCGACCTACAGTGTTCAAAGAGTTCTTTTGAAACACCGCACATCACCGAAAATAACAACACAATGAATTTCTGTCTTCGAAGAAACCAAGCGATACAGATTAAGCTTTCGGGTATGTTCAGCAATAAACTGAACTTTATACACTTGTATATTTTATTCAAGAACTACAGTGGAAAGCATTCATTATTAACAACTATCAGAATGCTGCAAAATCTTGCGTTGAAAGCGTTATTTTAAAACACCGCACATCACTGAGAACAATAACTGAATGAATTTCTGACTTCCAAGAAACCAAACGATGCAGTATAAGCTTTCGGATACGTTCAGCAATAAACTGAACATTATACCCTTCTATTCCTTTTATTGATGAACTACAGTGGAACGGGTTTAACGTCCGTACTTCCGTTCGTCATACGCACCTAGCAAATTCAAGGATGACACGTAGAATGTAATTATGCAAGCAAGTTATACACGACGCTATATGTAACGCGTTGCTCATCGATTACATGTTACTCACGTTAGGTGGTACTCACACAGGCATGGAAATAATGCTAGAGTCGAAAGTTTCTGGCTGAGCAAAACCGTCTCTGGAAGTAGCCATTAAAGACCACCTATAAGTCTGCAATTATAATAAATTATACCAAGCGCCATGGGCAGGGGATCGATCGGAAGAGAATTCAAGTCAGTTAATTCTAAAGGAGCTGCAGACTAAAGAGGTAAGAAGTGTTCGCACCTGACACGACTGAAGAGTACGTCTTGCGAATTTAATAAAATACTTTTTAATACGAGGGCACAATAGATGTAACTCGCTTTAAGGTAGGGCATTTTATTACTGAAACCAATCACGGAGATCCGTAAGTGTTATTCTATATCGATGAATGAGTGCTTCTTGTTTATAATCCACAAATTAAAAATTAGGATAATAAGAATAGTAATGTGAAAGGCGCAAAAAAATTTGATCGACGTCGGTAAAAAAGGATTGACAGATTATTTTATAGCGAGGTTGTTTCGTTGTTTATATTTGTCACTGCTTGGTAGCGTTCGGCTGACCTAACCTATGTAACGCATCTACCCTAACCTACTTTTATTTCTTTCTATCAATTGTGTTTTTAGGACTATTATGATCCTTAGAAATGAGAAGGATACATTAACCACATTCAAAGACTTCATCGGTCCCAATATAATGACGCCGCGGTATACCGGAATGCCATTTATGTGTGCCAATTGTGTTTTTAGGACTGTTATGATCCTTAGAAATGAAAAGGATGCGTTTATCACATTCATGTGTGCCAATTGTGTTTTTAGGACAATTATAATCCTTAGAAATGAAAAGGATACATTAATCACATTCAAAGACATCATCGGTCCTAACATCATGATGCTGCGGTATACCAGAATGCCATTTATGAGTGCAAATTGTGTTTTTAGGACTATTATGATCCTTAGAAATGAAAAGGATGCGTTTATCACATTCAAAGACTTCATCGGTCCCAATATAATGACGCCGCGGTATACCGGAATGCCATTTATGTGTGCCAATTTTATTTTTAGGACTATTATGATCCTTAGAAATGAAAAGGATGCATTTATCACATTCATGAGTGCCAATTGTGTTTTTAGGACTATTATGATCCTTAGAAATGAANTTACTCTCTGTTTATTCTTTCAGGGGATTCGATTTCTACAGAAGCGAATAGAACTAAGAGATGTTTTTCAAAGAATGGCGTCCCTCTGGGACAACTCACTTCAACCGAGCTTGCAAATAAACGACGTTCAATGGATGTTTAACAGTTTAATTATTCTTCGAAATGCCTATTTCGCTATCATTGTATCAGGAGTAACTTTTTACAGTCTACCTGTTTATATGTAAGTTTATCTATCGTATACGGCGCCGCAAAACGTTAGTCGGATTTTTTAGGGAATGAAAGAGGCGAAGGTTCTTCTTCCATTTTTTCTTCCATAAGTCAGTAACTAACGGAGCATGTTAAAAATCAGTGCCGGCACAAAAAATGTGAGAGGTCCTGAAACTTTTTTTTTCATTTAAGTTCGTTTAAATTCGCAGTCAGTTAAGGTGAAGTGAAACACCCCTCAAGTCTGTCGATTTGAATACAACACTTTTTTTTAAGGGTATTAGACCAAACTGTCCGAAACTTTGACACATCACTCCAATTTTACACAATTCAGAATACTCTGGTAGTCGATAAACTCGCATTTGAACGGGATAAACGCAAAAAAAGTGTATTCGCTTCTATGCTAAAATGATGGTAATACGAGGTCTCGAAGTGAAAATTTAATTAACCTGTAAATCACAGATGGCGCAGCGGGTCCCTCTGTAGCCAATTAGGGCTCCAGAAAGCATGAACCCAGAGGATTTCTGGAGTTTTACTTAGATTTCTTTATATTTATTGGGCGAATACGATATATTGAGCACACTATTTAGTACAATAAAAGCGTCAGGACAATTTTACGACAATTTAGAACACTCTGATAATCTATAAACTCGCATTTGAACGGGATAAACGCAAAAAAAAGTGTTGTATGCGCTTCTATGCTGAAATTATGGAAATACGAGGTCTCGGAGTGAAAATTTAGTTGACCTGGAAATCACAGATGGCGCATGGGGTCCCTCTGCAGCCAATTAGGGCCTCAGAAACCATGAATCTAGAGTATTTCTGGAGTTTTACTTCGCTTTCTTTATAATTATTGTACGAAAACGACAGGTGGAGTATGCCATTTGGTACAATACCGAATATAATTTGATACAGCTGTCAATATAAAAACGAACGTCGGCAACGTAGGTATTTAGAAAAATCTTACTTATCGACGTCGATCAAGTTCCTCGACGCGTTTCACTTCACCTTAATTCATAAAGTTAAGATTTTTTGGTTTAAATTAATTTCTCCTTAAGGTATCAAACACTGTAGGATACAAATTGTTGAAGTAATTGAAAATAATCTTGCTTGAATCGTTCCTTAGAGACATCAGCGTTCAATATTTCATAACGAAGAATGAAAACAATTCGTACAACTATACCCAGACAATATTTCCAATGATCTATCCGTTTCCACTAAAAAGTGCCTTTGTCTACGTTGCTGTTATCACTGCGCAACAAATCCTCGCTGTTATTATAATAACGATGTGGGCATCCTGCGATACATTGTTCGCACATATGGCTACTTATGCTGCGATGAAATTCCGGGTAAGCAATCACATATGTACCCATAATTATGAAAGTGGTCTAAGTCAAAAATAAAAAAAAAATGAGTTTATCAGTTATTTCACGCCATATTATTTGAAACGAAATTAATTCAATGTAATTTCGAAACAAAAAATATGTGACTTAGACCACTTTCATAATTATGGGCACATATACAAAAAAAACATTGCGCTAATTTAGAGACGTTTCATAATTTTTAATAATAATAGTTTAGTTAATGTATAAGCAAAGAAGTCATTACTACGATGTTTAAATGAATTTAACGGAAGTTAAAGAATTTATTGGCAGATCTGTAAAGAACATTGCGTGCCGATGATAATCATTAAGGCGATGCGAAAGTGGCGTCAAAGAGTTGTCGTTTTTCTTTTTTCATTTTCATCTCTTTCAGCCAAACTGGGTTTACCGAATAGATTCAAACTTTATAATATTAATATGGAGAGTATAAAGAAGGTTCTGAAACTCATGAAACTTCAATTTTTTAAAAATTTGTCGATATATATTATTAAAATTTGTTATAAAAAATGAAATTCCGTGGGTGTCGGGACCTTCCTTACAGCCTTCATGTGTTCACGTTGTAAAGTTTGAAACGATTCAACACACCCAGTTCGGAGAAAAATCTTATAAACAATTGGGTTTTCGGATGCCGCTTTCACATTCCCTTAATGCCTAATTCAATACCGGAGGGCTCGTCTTTCCGATGTCTGTACGTTCTTAGAAAATGTGTTTAAAAATTGCATTTCTAAGCACACAGTGTTATACTTTTTTTTTTTATAAATCACTTCATCATATCGAATTTATCCTTGAGTCAATGTCGACAGGTCCTACGTCACGAGCTGGAGAACATTTTTAAGGACGAAGACATGACTCCGTCTGACGATGTGGTCGGCTTAAAGATCGTCGTTCTTATTGGACATCACTTGGAACTATTCAGGTAAAATCTACCCGAAGTTCTCTTCGGGTTCAGTCTCTAAAATGAATATTGGAATTATACGTTTCATGTATGGCATCTTAAATAATCCTTATTGTCATGGAATATTTGTAACGAATTAAATATGTAGGGTACAAAGACGTTTCTAAATTCAGACATGAAACTTGTCAGCAAAATAATGAATTTTAACAGTTGAAAATATTCTTTCAGTTTATGTAACTCGATCGAAGAGATATTCAGTCCTCTGATGATGCTGACAATGGTGATTTGCGCCGGCAATATGTGTATCACCATGCACGAAATAGAGAAGGTCACCTATTCGTGTCTTCATCGCTATTGATACCCTGCTTTAAATAAATTCACCGTTATTAATAAACTTTTTAAAAATATTTCAGATGCTGTCCATAGGCGACTATATAGAATTTACAATGAACGTCGTGCACCTTTTCGGACAGTTCTTGATGGCCATAACATGTTGTGCGTACGCAACAATGTTAACCAATCAGGCAAGTTTATGTTTACTCACGTCAATGTTGTTGGGAATTGTTAATACATATTTACTGTTGATTTTTATACAGACGGAGGGAGTCAGTCTGGGTGTTTACGAGTCCAACTGGTTCGGGTCTCGTTCTTTAGTGAAAATGCTCATCATTATAATGATGCGTGCCCAGAGGCCCTTCTATTGTACGGCGTATGGTTTTTTCCCCCTCAACCTGAATCAAGTCACAACGGTATAAACCACACAGTCTGTTGCGATATCAATGTTAATATCACAGTTAGTTAAAGGAATTGCATTTTGTAGATTTTCAGCTCGGCGTTGTCGTACTTTTCCATGCTACGGACGATGGCATAACCTTGAAGTGTTGGTGTTGTAGTTCTTGTAATAAATTAAATCCTTCGTCACAACTTCTATCGCAATTTCCACATTTATCAGTGTTAGAGAAAACTTAAGACTTGTTATGAATTCTGTTATAATAAAGCAGACCCTGTACATGGAATTTAATCCTTCTTTGCTAATATGTGGTATTAGTCGCGGTTGTTTATTGTCAGCAAATGTGTATGACATAACGTGTATGAAGCTATGCGAAATATCTTCATTGCAAATAAAAATGAGAAACATTACCTGTTTTTATATTCTTTCAAGAAAAATTCGAAAATATAATTCAGAATCTAGCCTACATTGGAATTAACATACAGATCTTTACTTCTAGGACTACGAGGACCCTAATGACTTTGGTGGCAAACTTTTGCGTTGTTCTCCCACAGAAAGTATGACTTTCAGTGCTTATAGAGCATCGCGAAAGTTCCTATTACGTGCTACGTACACTTAACCCTTTTGTTACCTTGGACGAGATATCTCGCGACCCAATACTGGCTGATTAACGCTTTCGACGAGATATCTCGCGACCCGATGCTGGCTGATCAACGCTTTTGACGAGATATCTCGCGATCCGGTAGTAGCGGATTAACGCTTTTGACGATAATCTAGCTTTCTAGCACCAATATTTTGACATTCAATATGAATATATTTTATAACTAATTCTATTCGTATAGCTAAAAGGAAGAAATAAATACAGTTTTTATTAATTTAATCAAATTATTTTTATTTACTTTCTACGTGGCAGAACACAAAATAATTTGTCTAGAATGTCAAAATATTAGTGCTAGGAAGCTAGATTATCGTCAATAGCGTTAATCCGCTACTACCGGGTCGCGAGATATCTCGTCAAAAGCGTTGATCGGCCAGTATTGGGTCGCGAGATATCTCGTCCAAGGTAACGAAAGGGTTAATCGGCCAGTACTGGGTCGCGAGATATCTCGTCCAAGGTAACGAAAGGGTTAAAGAATTGTTGAACAGTTCGTGGTGTGTCAATCCCGGTCTGGACCTTCTGCGAGGACTCTCGCAAAAGATAGGACAAGTGTGTGGTTCCGAAACATAAAAGGAAAAGCCAAAAGGGCGAACGCAAGAGGAACCTTGACGTGCCCGCCCCAGAACTCCGTGATGAGCCTCTTTTCCCGGGGGCATGCGATTGGCCTCTACCTGAGCCCCACCTGAGATTGCCGATCCTAGACACCTAGGTCACCATCCCTACAGTCCTACCCTCGCCACGTGGCCACCACGCCGACCCTACCGGCCCTGTAATTACGGTAGGATATACGGTAGGATTAAGCTAGATGTAAGAGGTAGGTTAGGACACATTTAGAGCTAATAAAAACCGCATTTAACTACACCTACAGTCGCCGGATGGTATATTTGAGCCCCGCCTAAAGTCGTCGATCCTCGACACCTAGGTCACCATCCCGACAGTCCTACCCTCGCCACATGGCCACCACAGTTGACCCTACCGGCCCTGTAATTACGGTAGGATATACGGTAGGATTTAGTTAGATGTAAGAGGTAGGTTAGGACACATTTAGAGCTATTAAAAACCGCATTAACTTTATCTACAATCGCCGGGTGGTGTATCTCTTGGGATTAATGCGTGGTGGGTGGCCTACTTGCTTACATCTAAACGTTCTTTCCAGACAACTATCGTACGTCCCTAGCTGTATCTAAAAGTCCAACCGCATTCATCCCAACACACTCACTCCACGATTCTCTCACGCTCCACCCAGAGGTAAAGAGCCTAATCCTAGAGAGGGCATCCCAGGATGCCTCTGACAACCGAGTTCAGTTATCGCACGCAAACGACCCATCGATTACCATCGCCGGTTGAATGAAAATAAATGAAATGAATCCATGGAATTGTAACGCGAATGGCAATCGAAGGAGTTTACAAATTGTTTAGCCGCGCCTTCTAGCCCCGACTCGTTTGACTCGCTCGGAATCGAAGGGCCAGCAAGGAACGCGGCTACAGGAAGAAACAACTACCGTCGATGACGCTGAAAACATCCTAACCTGTTTCGGAATTATACTTGCCAAGTTGGGAAAACACTGTTGTTGGTGACATAGGTTGAGGTGGCGTCGTGTCACGCCATAGTCAAGCCTGTAGTTTTCTTCGTCCCCGCTGCAAATAAAACTTCGGCTTTCTGGGGTCGTTGCGGCAGCATCCGCATTTCTGCCTTTAATACATTTTTTTTTTAAATTTGTTCATATATAGTTAAAATTTGTTATAAAAAATGAAATACCATGGGCGTCGGGACCTTCCTTACAGCCTTCATATTCACATTGTAANGAGACCTGGAGTTTCTAGCACTGGCTCCATCTGCCTCCGCCTCGAAGATGACTTTGGCCGCATTCTATCACTGCTTCTGCTTCCTCTTCCTTTGTTCGCTACCCTGAATAATTAAAATCTAATCAGTTTGGGTCATCCAACAGTTTAAATGGTTAACGAACTCGGCAGTATCCCTCTAACCCGGTACTAGAAAATGTTTAACCCTTCGTCTGTAAACCTGGGCCTTTCATGTCCGGACCAAAACGGTTTCAGTTAATATTTGGAGGAATTTTTTTTTTAACGAGACACAACTCATGTACAAATACAACACTAAGTGACACTGAGAAGGAAACATTCTCAAGTGTCCGCCGTAAACTCTGTACTCCATTCGAAGCGGATCAGTTCTGATCAGAAGTTCTTCCTGTTGCGTTAATTATAGTTTCCTCACAATGTTTTGTATTTCGCGCCCTTTTTGACCAGCCGAGTCATCAATATGGCGGCTTTGGTCGCCTGGACGGCAGATGGAAACAGATATTCATCGAGAGAATACGCATTCGCAATCATTATTCTACTACGATAAACATGATCAACCTTTTGTTAGCTACATTTCAAGCAATGTATTTAATGGAAACTGAAGTTAATCGACAAGAAATACTATTAAAAGAATCTATTCAAAATATTCTTATGGTCAGTATATTCCAATTTAATCAACTAAACTAGTTCGAGATTACTGAAAATTCAATATTGGATTTTCAAGAACCTATTAAAGCAATCATTATTCTACTACGATAAAAAACGCAGCGTAGAAACCCCCAACATTTACTTGTGAGGTTATTTTGTCAATGTGCTACGACTTATTTGTGCGTAATGATTATAAATCCGATAAACATGATCAACCTTTTGTTAGCTACATTTCAGGCAGTGTATTTAATGGAAACTGAAGTCAATCGACAAGAAATACTATATGAGAAATGTATAGTACGAGTTTTCCTTTCATACTTTCCCTCTCACTCCTCTTCCCCAAGAAGTACCAGTGGGCTAACCGAGTAGATGATGGAGGATGTTGAAAAGAAAACTTAACGTATGTCTCTATATTTACGCTGAACAAATTACGAAATGCTATCGACACTGGTTTCATAGTGTGCGACGCAGATATCCAGAAATGGGTCCTGGAAACATGGCGAGAACAGACGAACGACATCAATTTTAAAGTTCATCGTATTGTTCCACGAAAAATAACAAAATTCACTTCAAGGAAGACAATAGAAGACGGTGATAATTCGCAAAGAACAACTAGTGAATTTATAAACACTGTAGGACCGCCGACAGGGCAGTACGGGATCGAAAACTGAAGGTTCCATAGACTCTGTTACGTCCCGCGTAACGCCTCCTGCACGTGCGTTCATAATAAATAAATAAATATATATATAATCCTGCACGTGCATCGGCTCGCGCGTCGAACTGAGTCCGGGAGGCCCATGTCACTTAAACAGTAAACATGTCATTTTTTGTTTAGAGTCAAGCAACTCGGGGCCACCCTGTTTCGGTCCCCCGACCCGCCGACCCCGGGAAATAGCGAGTAAGACAGCGGGGTCCCTGTACTTGAAGACTCATAAAACCTAAGATAGGGAACAGGGACCCCCGCGATAACCGACACCACCCCTGCACATGCGAGGCCATAAATTCGGTTCGAGATTTAAACATTTAGTCTTCCAAAAAAAAAAAAGGGGGGGGGTAACGTCAAACTCCCTCTCCTAGCAACATTTTTCCTAAATTTCCCCACTCCAAGCCAATTCCTCCAACCAAAAGTCCCAAAATCCCACTCATCCCCCGAAATCCTAATTTTCCAATTCCTCTTCCAATTAGAGCCTTCCAATTCCCACTTTTACCCATTTCGTCTACTTGACAATTTTTTCAAGTCCCACCACCTCGAAACAAACCAATAGGAATTTGACATTTACCCTCACCCGAATTTTGGGCCTCAAACGTCGGGGGTGGAAATCATATAAAAGCTAGTGTTTAAGCAGCGAGCGTAGAGAGTTGTTCTTAGACACTCGAACAGTTCTTAGACACTCGAATAATTCACTCGATAAAATTTCAATTTCTATCTTCGAAGATCTACTCCAGAAATACCAAGGTATTTTAGAAATAAGCACACTCTCACACATATACTCACACACACACACACACCTCTTACACTTGTAAAACCAAACCTTCCTTTAATAAAACCTTGTAAACCTAACAAAATCTCCCTCTTCTTTTTTTTTCTTCCTTCCTTAAAATCCCAATAACGAAAAAGTCCGCATAGGACTTGCTGAGGGGCCCATAGACTTCTCTATTTCCTTTTCCCTTCCATTCCGATCATACTGAGGGCGCGGGGGCTAGGTCACGCACCCCCTTCGGTATTTCGGATATTTCCCTTTCAATTCCTCAATTTCTCAATTCCTTAATCGTAAGGAGGGCGCGGGGGCTAGGTCACGCACCCCCTTCCATACACGATAAACCCTATCCCCTTTTCCATTCCGATCATACTGAGGGCGCGGGGGCTAGGTCACGCACCCCCTTCCATATACGAATCCCCTACCCCCTTTTCCTATCTTTCATCACGGCACACTACACCACCAACCTCCACATAACCCTAAGTTTCGTCTTACCTTCCCCGTAGATGGTTAGGCGGGCGGGAAGGAGAGTAGCTCTGTTAAAAACCTTCGCGGAGGCAGAGGGGCGCCCTAAACGCCCTACCAGGCGACCACCCCACCGACGCACGGAACGGAAGGCCGCCCGAGAACCTACAGACATCGGAAAATCCACCACCCAATTCGTCCTCTCCCCGCGGCGCCTTAAGGCTATCAAGGCGCTAATCGAAGCCTCGACCCCGAGGAGTACCGACCGCGCAGTCCCACCCAGGCTTTCGTCCGTAGAAATACGGATACCTGAGTGGAGGCTGATCCCGATCGATTTGCCTCCCGTACAAAAGTC